GTGCCAGAGATGTGAGGAAATTGCATAGTCCATAAGTATTAATACAGTCAAACTGGATGTTCTCTTGCGAGCAATATTGTCCCACAATATTGCAATTTTGATAGGCAGATTGCTCTGAGCAAATTGCAACTGATGCGAACAAATTGCAAGTGGCAAATCCACAAAAGATTTGTAAACAAAGCCTCTGATTGGATTATAAGAGGGAAGCCAATCAAATAGTCTGAGCAACTGGATTGGTGCTTCCCTCTTTCTTATTGTCCAATCAGAGGCTTTGTTTACAAATCTTTTGTGAATTTCAACTTGCAATTTGTTCATGTCGGTTGCAAATTGCTCAGAGCAATCTGCCTATCAAAATTGCAATATTGTGGGACAATGTTGCAATGTTTTGCTTGCAAGAGGACATCCGGTTTGACTGTAAGAAAATAACACATTCGTATTTGCCGAAATAGTGTGATTTTTCATTAACCCATTAGAGTGCAAGACTCTCTTTTTGACAAGTAAAATTGTCTGGCATTAGACTGAGTAAAAGAATAAAGTAGGGCACATTGCTACGTAATGGGTTAATCAAGAAACATTGCATTAATCTATTCATTTAATTTGTACCTTTGTGATCAAGAGTAATTTTCTGCCATTTGATACCTGTCAAAACTGTCAATATTTTTTTATTTCATCTTTGTCTTCTGTACTTGAAAATAAATAAGAAGTCAGTGCATAATAAGAGCTCAGAAAATATACATTTTCACATTGTTTACTTACATTTAGTGTTGATGTTTTTGCACAATGGCATGTGGAATTCCTGTGGGCTTGATAGTGTGATGATTTTCAAACATTTATCCAAAACCAAATCTTAGTATGCTGTCGATAACTAGCCTATGTACAGAATGTATTATGCAAAAAATTGTGCTATATTTGCTTGTCGACCCCCAGCTGTGTTACCCATATCTGTAGTACTGTACTTGATTCTAATTGGTCATAGTTAAGCTCAGTAGATTCTGATTGGCTGTCTTTAAAAGGTCAACAAAGTTCTGGCTGACGTAAACAAATGACATCATGCCCCTTATTTCCAACTTGTTGTTGCATTTTATTTGTTCAAATTTGGGTATCATATTAATCTACAATAATACATCAAAAACATTTTTGCATCGAAAAATGAAGTACAATTTGCAATGAACGTCAAGTGTCAAGAAAATCTTGTTTCGATTTTGAAATCAAAGTCCAACTGTCGTTGATATTTATATAAGCCAATCAGAATCCATTAAGTTCAGTTGTGACCAATCCGAATCTATCCAGATTACAGCATAAATTTCATACAGTATATACACATGCTACGGATAAAAGGATACTACAAATTCCAGACCTGTAATTGACAACATAAAAATTGCCAGAATTCTCCCTTGACGAGTAAAATCATCCGGCATTAAACAGGATAAAACGAGGAAAGGTATTATTATGAATACTTGTAATTTTCCAGGCTACATGGTTCATCTTGGTATGGTAAATAAATCTGACTTTCAATCATCTGACGATACCAAAATAATGAATTTTGGCAACAAAGTAACAGTCTTAACAGGCGACTTCTTCCTAGCCAAGGCATCTGTTGGCCTGTCTGAGCTGGAAAACACGGAAGTTGTCGATGTTATGGCAAGCGTTATTGGCGATATTGTCGAGGGTGAAACAATGAAGGATTGTAAGACTGTGAATGACACAAGTTTGGCTGAATGGGAGGAAGTGATTTTTAAATCTCAAGGGAGTCTTTTTGCTAAAAGTTGTTTGGCTGCTTTAAAGTTGTATTCTTTGCCGCAACATGTAAGTGTGGGATTAGGGTTCGGATGATTAACATCCATCCTTAGAGGTGTTGAGATGATTAACATTCATTCTTACATCTTGTCGACAAGCTGAAGCTGTAACAAGTTGTTATCTAATACGGACACCTCTCTAATACAGACACCTCTCTAATACAGACATCTCTCTAATACAGACACCTCTCTAATACAGACACCTCTCTAATACAGACATCTCTCTAATACAGACATCTCTCTAATACAGACACTTTTCTAATACAGACATCTCTCTAATACAGACACCTCTCTAATACAGACATCTCTCTAATACAGACACCTCTCTAATACAGACACTTTTCTAATACAGACATCTCTCTAATACAGACATCTCTCTAATACAGACACCTCTCTAATACACACACGTCTCTAATACAGACACTTCTCTAATACAGACACTTCTCTAATACAGACACCTCTCTAACACAGACAACTATCTAATACAGACATCTCTCTAATACAGACACCTCTCTAATACAGACATCTCTCTAATACAGACACCTCTCTAATACAGACACCTCTCTAATACAGACA